TCACCAAAAAAGCCACACTGGGAGAGGAAGGAAATCCCACACTTAACTACAAGGCAGCAGAAAACTGCCAGTAAAAATCCAGCCCATCCCTGAACGAAAGCTACAGAGCTGCCCGAGTGACAGCAGGAGAGGGCGCCATGGAGCCTGCTGCTTCCAGGGTTAATGCCCAGCCCCACGCAGCAGCATCCCGAGGGAAACAATTAGGTCCACTTGATCCTAAACATTCGTACTTCCTGTCTTTATTACTTCTAAAAACATACCTGAACAATTACTCATCTCCTCTGTAACCAAAACCAAAACCTTTCTAAACATGTGTTTTGAGAGGTGAATCAGAGGCCTGTCACTCATCTCCTAAGCAGGAAGAAGAGAAGAGAGGGGCTGCTGCTTTAGCTTCTGGATTCCTCCTTGCCCTCTTGTCCCTCCATCCCGCCTAGCCACTGCACAGACAGCAGGAGAGGGTAGGCAGGGAAAGACAGAAGACCTCTGTGATAGGTCTGCATCCATCTCTCCAGTGTGACCTGCAAATCCAGAGTTAAAAAACTCCAAGCAAGGAAAAAACACAGACTTTTCTTCCTGTCCAGCGATAAACCAATGTGTTTGGACCTAAAAGGCCAAGGACTGCTTGGGGTGGTCTAACCAGCTTCAAAGCAGAGTATAAGCCAACAGTTTACTAAGCAGAGAGGAATTCTTAAAAGAATCAAGAGCTTGGAAATACTGTCTTGTGGGCTGTGCTATTTTTACTGGAAAGCTCTGGCCAAAACTATCTCAGACATCAAAACAAACTAGATTATGCTATAAATATTAAAAGGATTTATAGCTCTTTGTTTGTGCAATAAATTCCTGGAAAGTCCCTTGGCCTTAGTGTAAGGAGGAGAATGTCAAAGAGGAAGAAGGACATACAGAAAGGGAAATAATTAATTTTGGACATCATGTATTTTCTTCTCATCCTACTCACTTATAGCAACTTATATCAACTTCTCACCAGACACAAATGGTCAAGAACTATGTCAGATGGTATTAAGACTTCTGCATATTCAATGGCACATTCAGTGGGCTTGGGGAAGACAGTCTTATGAGAAGCTGCATTACACCTAAGAAAGCCTTTGATCAGGTTCTGTGGAGACACATTTAAACACCACAGTTGCTCTGCAAGAATCTACAATACCTGAACTATAGGCCTCACTTCCTACTATCATGTAATAAAATCAAACAAATCACCCACGATGCAGCCACTAAAGTCTGGCTGATCTTTCACCTGAGTAAAAATCCTTAGTTTCATTATTATTCATAAAGTTGTTATTCACAAGGTAGAAAAAGTGTTTCTTCTTGTGTTTTGGTTTTGAGGTTTTGTTTGTTTGGGATTTTTTTGTTGTTGTTGTTTTTGGTTTTTTTACAGTTTAAAATATTATGGTCCATTTGTGACTACTTGGAATTATTAACATTTACACTGGAAATATGGGAGGATTTCCTGAGAAACATTTGTACTGAAAACAGCTAATGGGGGATGGAAGAGGAAAACCCATTATTAGGTAACATTGAGATACATGATTACTTGGGGAAAGAACATTAAATACATATATCAGTTTAGACTGTGGTATTTTCTATGCCTCTCAGTAAATATTGCCTGAACAAAAAAGTGCCTAAGCAAAAGTCACAAGGTCTGAGGCTCATTACCTGCAAAGGTGTTCCCAGAGCACATCTAAACACATGGCAGCTTGGCCTCATCAGCAAGCACAGCCCACTGCTTCATCAGGATCTTGTTGTGTTTGCTCCACAGGTACATTTCAACAGTTCCTACCTTGGCCCATTTGGCTACACTTATGGAGACAGGGGAAGGGAAACAAGCAACCAATCGAAAAATCAAAATCAAAGAAGCCCAAACAACTAACCCACTTTGCTGAAGATGGCACAGTAAATTGGACTGGGCTGTTCTCTGATTCCTTGGCTGCTGCCTAGCTGCCAAACTGCAGCTATCACTATGCAATAGATGCATAGTGAACTGTTCATCCTCACCAGAGTCCAGGGAACAAACAGGAACCACAGTCTTAAACTGATCCCAAGAATTCTCCCAATAAATCAGCAGTCTCCAGCACTAGTTTTATGCTTAATTCCTCTGTCTCCATATCCAGTTAATCAATCATGTATTTGCCTAAGACAAGGTATCTTTGTCCTCTCCCAAAAAAATATACTGGGCTAACTCTACAACCACTTAAGGGAGAAAGTCAGTGGCTTACATTACCCTGAACAACTGAGGTGGCCACACAGAGAGGTTTAAAAAGAAATGTTTACATCTATGCTATGTCATGCTAAAACAAACACATTTCTCACACTGGCGAGAACTGGAGGACACCCAAATATCTGGAGTTTTTACCTCCACTGAATATGTAATCCTTATTTTTCCTCCTTCTGGCAAAGTACGTGCAACAGATAGCTCCTCCCTCTTTCATATTTAGTATGTATAAAAAAGAAATCCCAACTCGAAGTAATACTGGTTCAGTAATACTGTTTAAAAATTTGACCTTCCACTTTTGGACTAAGTCCAGAAAAACCCAAACTAAGCTTTCGGATCACTGCACGAGGCCTCGTGGGAATGACACAATCTCACCACTATCACAAAAGAAGACAAAACTGATGTTTAGGGACTTGCCAGAGAGCTGGGTCTGCATTGTGCAGGCAACTGGATATTTTAAACCAGATATTTTAAACTGGATATTTTAAACTGGACTATTTTAAACCGATGCTGCAGCAGTGTGGGCAGTAGAATTTGGTGAAATTACATATTGACAGCAGCTCTTCACTGCTTTTGTTATACATATTACAGCTCAAGTACCATGTGTGGAACTATATATTACAACTTTGAATGACTGTTTCATATTCTAGCATCATACAAATGTAGCAGTAGAAGTACATGTGTGCTGCACTTGTGTGAGTTGCTTTCTTTGAGAGTTACTGCCATGCAGCTGAAACAGTGTTCAACACAACACAGACCAATATATGTGGCTTAGCCTGGCCCCTCTTTCTTCATTCTACAAGTTGAGTCCTTTTGGAATGCTCTTTCTGTATTTTAGTGTAAGTCAATGGCTTTCTTGAGAGCTCTTGTCCATTATAAAAACCTTACATTCTGCAAGGTGACAAAAGCATTCACATGTGATTGCCTCAAAGAGCACATGCTCCATCACCACAGCATGTGCAAAGAAAAACTCAGGCTACAGAGAAAAAAGAAGCTACAGCTGTACAGCAGGACAAAGTCAGAGTACTCCAAAGGACCTAACACTTCTTTCCAATTGTACACAAGTATTTCTAACTCACACTCTGAGGTGGTGCACTAGAACTTAAAGTGGAAGCTCGGAGAAGTAGCTCTTATTGAAGCGCAGAAAACACAAACAACAAACACCTTCCTTCAAGATACCAATCCTGCTGGCAAAGGCATTTCTGAATATGCATGTACACAAGAGCCCTGCTGTCCATCATGTGTAAGATATTCCCAAAATTGACTGACGAATGCAGAAAAACTCCTAGGGAAGCAAAACCTCCCAGGGAAGTAAAAAAAGGTTTGAGCTCAAAGTCTAAGTTGAAGCCTGATGAGGGGTTTAACTTGGTTTATTCAGGATGTGGCTGCAGGTATAGTGCAGTTTGTGAAGGCTGTCTGCTGACATAAGATTTGGACAAAAAAAATATGCAAGAAGAAAATTCTTTATCCTCTCCAACTATAAAACTAGTCTTCATCATCTGTTTCCTCATTTGGCTAAGTTTTAGATTTTTATTTTTTCCTCTCTTTCTGTTCAGTGAGCACCCACCTTAGGGAATATGTTGTTTTTAAAACAAGCCCTGCTTATGAGGAAGAAAAGGTTATCAGTTAATTGATTAGCATAAAATTAGTATAATACAATAGTCTGTCCACCTCTTTTGGCCATCCAGAATTCAAACACTGATTAATTTAATTATCCATAATAATAGAGGAAACACATTGCTTGAAGAATTGCCCTGAACTCTGTCTCTACAAGCCATTAGTATTCATATTTATGTCTTATTTCCTCTTGCACATTACTATCTAAAATAGTATTTTCTTGCAACAGTTATGTAAAGGAACACTCAAGGTACTGCCTTGCAAATACTCTACAGACTAAAACAGAAGCCTGCTCTCTATTTCTGAAGTACACCTTCCTCACTATACATATATGCAGGAATACTAAATATTATTTTTTATTTTCATGGGGTTTATGATCTTTTCCATTTAACTGTGTTGTTTTGCCTCTGTGACAGAGTATTCAGAGTACTGTGGAGTGCTGTACCATGGCAGGATATCTGGATATGTATGTTGTACTAATTAGGGAAGTCAGTTTAGGCATAGTTTTTGACAGAATAGATACATGTACCTTTGATACCAAGAGATAAGCCAAGTTTCTGTATAATAGTAGTTTCTAACTTGTTACCTACATTTTTTACAGGTTATGCCAGAAAGATATTGACTGTGATTTACTCCTAGATCTGTGGGACTTTTTTTTACCCCTAAACTATAGAGCACTCTTAAACTGTGGAAATCAGGACACTGGAGATGAGCAAAATTTCCATTTTAAATGTCTTGTTTAGACAACATCTTTGATCTAGTTCAGTAACTGTGATTTACTTTAAAACAGTTCAGTCAATTTGAGGTTGGACTATACTACATCACAGTGCCCACAACATGGCAGTTTCAGCCTTCTTCTTGGAGGCAGAATCAAACCGTTCTGGGGTTCAACTGCATCGCAGCAGTGTTTGGTCACATCTCTAGTATAGACTGCCATCTAGGGCAGTGGAGAAGAGTGCCACAAGATGGACATATTATAATCTGCTTTGATTAGAAAGGTCCAAACCAGCCCCCACCTAAATCACCACTCACAATCAAACATAATTAATTGAGAAATGAAACACCCTGTCTCTCTCTGCGGGGCTGTAGCACAACTTCATAAGCTTGTTGCAACAGAATGGTCACATGTTCACAGTCAGATTATAGTGTTAAAAACACTCATGTTATCACATGTGATTCCTGCCCCAGTCCAAAGTAAAAACTAGTATTTAACTCCCCTCTTTACCCACCAATTATTAAATACAAATCCTTCTTTTCAGCAAGACCAAAGCAGTAAAGGCTGTTGGCAATGTATCATCTACAAAAATAGTTAGTCTTATAATTAGCAGGGAACACAAAAACTTTTCATTTGACTAAGCTGTGCCCAGTACTGAAATACAGGAAGGTACAAACAGTATCTGCTTAAGTGTAAAAAATATATACAACTATATTTAACACTTAAATTACTTTAAACTTTTTTTAAGTTTGCATACTAGCAGTTCTATGTACATTCTCTTTTGAACAATACCTCTTTAATATCATCCTCTTTTGTTAAACAAGTTTTATTTTCCTCCCAAAATACCCAATGCTATTTCAAAATTCTGAAGGTGTAAAGATTTGAGCTATATAGAAAATAGCAAATGTCTTACAATTGTAGTGTATGATAGCACATATTTTTCATAAAAACAACACATCATTCAAAAACTGAACCATAGTAAAAGTTCTCATAAGTCCAACAGGACTGTCTTTAAAAGGTTACTTTGGTTAACAGCAAATCATTCTTAAACAATTAAGGAAGAAAATATATATTCTTTTACCACCTCTACAGATGCATTTCCTTGGCATGTTGTAGCAATCCATATACCTTTACAGACAAGCACTGCAGTTGTTCAGTGCTCTTTATTTCTACTGTGATTTCAAAAAAATAGTTTACATATCAGGTTGGATTGATTTATAATTAAATTAGTCCAATTTCCTAAAATCTCTGAATGAGAGAACTCTCTTCCTAAGCCTTCACAGAATTTCTGGTATCAGAGAAAGAATAGCAACACTATTACTTCTTCCTCACAAGGTTGATCTCACGCAGTATTTGCAACAGCATCAGTAAGTTGCACAAAACCATTGTTCCTCTGCTTATCTTTCCTGGTCAGGAGAGTAACGCAGTGCAACTTGTGCTGAGCTCTGCTTACACTGACACCCAGCCAGTCACACCAGTCTCTGAGCATTCAGACAACTAAAGTGCCACTGGACTTCATGGTAACACAATTCTTTCTTCTGAGTCACTATGCACATTCCAGGTCATGTGTGGCCTCTATCTCACTGAATTCTACTTATTTCCATGGGAATAAATGCCTTCAGCTTTTGGCCAGGAAGAGGAACTTGATCTTTATCTTTTTTCCCCTCCTTGCACTATGGTACCCTCTGCTCTGTCAAAAGTCATGAAAAGGCAAAAATGTAAGGTTCTCCAGGAAAAGAATACCGCATTAGTCACTATCCGTCAGTTAAGCTGAAAAGTAGCGAAGTCTGATCGATGAGCAAAGGCACTTGGTAACAGCGTTGTGGACAATAGTCAGTGAGTCAACAATTTCAGTCTTGTGATCCAACTGACCAGCAGCGAGGGTTCTGCAGAGGAGTGTTTTGTGGATGATGTAACCGACGATTTTTTAGCACCTTCCTCTTGAAAAGGAATTGTTGCACTGTTGTGGAGGTCTGTATTCATAAAACACCTGCTGCCTCGAATATAATCCGTTCCCTTCACTAACTGCTTGTCAGACACTGGCCTGGAGAGGGGGTACTGCGTGGAGGGGCTTTCTTCAATGATTGGGGGTATCCTTTCATTACTGAAGTACCTGCAGAGGACATCTTCACCTGAACAAACAGGAGGAGGAAAACCAATTATTGATGACTTCAAACCCCTCCATTAACACTTTCTATTTTTCTAAAAAATATTCTGGTTACACTTCAAATTCCCCAGATTTTGGTTATTTTTCATAATCCACCTCAACATAAGCAGCTATCAATAGATTCATAGCTGTTTGCTTCTTTAATATTTTTTTTAAGTAACACAAATAACAAGAAAATAAATCCATACACAGAGAAGATACCATTTGACTGTTAAATTCCAGATTCACACACACTAAAAACGCTAGTGCAGACTACCATCATGCAAATCATTATCATGGGTGAGACCTAGCAAACTGTCTTGTAACATGTTATTCAAAATGCTGAAGAGACCAGAGTTGAATCCATATTTTTCTCAATGTAACTCATGAGTAACTTAAAAGATACAAATATTACTCTGGACAAAAGAAATTAATTTTGAGAATTGGTTTTGACCAGTGATTTGTGATGCTTTCTCTGTTTTTACTCTTCCTTAGGCAGTTGATCATGGCAGTTGTTGCTAGAGGCATCCTACTGGACTAGGCAGGCCTTTGGATGTGATTCAATACAGCTTACATACAAGTCTTCAGCACTTAGGTACGTTTCAAGTATTAAAAAAAGTCAACAAAAAACCAAAAGCAAAACTAAACAAAAAAACATACACACAAAACCAGCCCTGCCACCTGGTGATTGCTCTGTTAGACTTGTTACATAGCTTGCTTCTAATATCCCTCCAGGTTTATACTGCTTATGGACTTCTATTTTTGCATTAAAATAATAGAATTCAGCATCTATTTTATGCAGAATTACGCATTAGCTTTCATAACTCATTTCAAGAAGAAACTACTCATCCTTATTTCCCACTCTAAAAGTACTCAAATAGCCCTTCAGATGCAAAAGGAGATGGGAAGAGAAGGACAGTGTAGCAAGTAAAAAAAGCCACCCAACCTAACACCCAATGTTATGAGCTTCTGTCTCTCCCATTCAGTGATGTCTGCAGAATATGTTGTTTTCTAACAGGAGTCACATTAAAAAGCAACTTCTAAAAGGCCCTACATTTTACATTTAGAGAACAAGCTTGCTTGTACAACAGCCTCCACAGTGAGCTAAAGAAACAGAAAGACTTATTAAAAAAGTAGTTTTACAATCAATATTAAATGCAGAAGAAAGGAAAGAGATTTGCGTAAGAACAATACTTCTCTATAAAAAGACAAGTACAGATCTGCCCTAGTCATTCTAGCTTACTTTTAATGCTCACAAGAATTCCAAGAGGGGAAAAAGTTTGAGTCCCAGCACTGAATAGCCTCACAAATTTCACAACTACCATCTGGCATTCCTGCTAAAACCAACAACTGTCACCTTGGATCAGCTCAGCAATATGCAAACCATAGTCCTCCGTTCCTAATTTAAATGCTTTCATGCAGTTCACCCCAAGGAAATTTTGGAGAGGAAGGGAAGAGAAGGAGGGATGACACCTAAAACCTTGCCTTTTCTCCCTAATCCTCGTGGCCTAGAGAAGCGTTCTGCAGCTCCTATCCAACTTCCATCAGCAGGCATTGACAACGGACGAGGTTTTCCTAGAGGCAACAGAGAAGGTTATGAGGAATTACAAAAGGTTAAGGAAAACAATTTTTAAATTGATACTTTTCACAATTAAACAAAGGGAGAGATACAGCAATAAGGAGTTCAAATTGCAGAGAAAAAATATTTGAAGATACTTCCACTGGTGGTATCAATAATAAGAGATCAATGTGCTGAGATTGAACAGCTTTGATTGAACACACTTGCTCATTTACAGCAGTGGACATAATGTTATAAGCAAAACACACATGGAAATGGCCATCTGTAGCAGCAGAGCCCAGCTGAACGACACTCATTACAGAAATAACGGCATTCAGGTGAAATTATTTCAGATGTGTAATTTCAATTACGATTTGCAGAGAAGGCCCACCCATCAAGTCTAATGAACAGTTTTCTAACACAAATCACTTCAAACTGATCAAAGCACTTATCAAAACAGTGATAACGAGAGAGGAGTAAACTCACCATAGGACTGTGTTTTTTCCCTCATCTTGGCTGGTAGGATATTTACTTCCAGAGGATACCCAGGCAACTGATCTGAATCAGCAATAGTAAACCTTCGTCTTCGACTCTCCTGATCCAGAAAAGAATTGGGAGACTCGGCTCCCTTGGACCCAGTTAATGGTTGACTGTGTTTGTTGCCTCCTCCATACACAAAACTCCCCTTTTCATCTCTGAAAGGACATGTCACCTCAGTTAGTAACTTAAGAGTTTAACACTACAGACATGACTAGGTTTGAAACACACTTCTAGCACCCAGTCATGCTCATGACAACTGGCACTGTGCTGAAAACAAGCTGGAAAAAAAAAACAAACCAAGTCAGAAGAGAAAGCTACCTGCCTTACGCCATATTTACCGTTAACGAGCCAGGAATTTAACACACAGAGTTTAGAGGTTCCACTCATGCAAAAGATTTTGATAAATGAGATCTTTCTGACCTGAGGGCATCAAAGCCCCTGATTCACTGCCTGCTCAGTATGCAGCTGTGAATCGGGAGTGCTACACAAATTTATCCATCTCTGTGTCATGGCAACACCTCTGAGGGACTATGGTTTTCAGTCACTGTAGGAGACCAATAACTGTCACTGAATATTTACCACTTTCTCTCTCCCTCCTTGAGAGTTCCAATCATAGATTCACAGTGTATATATATACACACATACATACATACGCGTGTATATATATATATACACACCTACACACATATATACGCATATATGATTTTGATTAAATTCTGCAGGAACTCCCTTCCCAGAGCAATCTCTCATTCCCAAGGCCAGGAACAGCAATTTTTAGAACGTGTCCCTGCAAGTACTTTTACAAGAGAAGCTACCCTCCAACTTAAGATTTGCCTGGTTTGTTTTTTTTTTTTTCCTTTCCCTGTACATGCCACAATCCTATTGCTTGAAGCAACCATGAGCCCAGTCAGGCATCAAAGTACACAGCTGGTTGCCTAAGCACATATATACCCCAGTATTCACAGCAGCCCCCAGCCAGCACGTACCACTTTTCCAGCCCTCCACTAATGGGAAGGAGCTATTTATGGAAATTCAGAGACTGCAAATAGGACTCAAATGTTACATCACAACTGAATGTCTGTGGAGAGCTCTCCTACACCACCACCACGTGGAGACTGTGCCATAGGGAGGGAAACCAAACACTGCTCTCTGCCTCCCAGCGTGGACCAGAGAAGATCCACACCAGGAAGGGAAGGGAACAGGATGATGGTGAGGGGAGGAGAGGGGAAAGCACCCACCACACAAATGCACCACTGTTTCAAGAAAAAATCAAAACATGCAGAGGTCAAAATAAATAGCCAAACAGACAGTAGAAGAATTGCCCTTTCTCCTCTTCCTGCCTGCCACAACTTCCCACATTTGCTTTCTTTAAAAGTCAAAGTTAAGTCCCCTTTCCATGCATCATCCAGGATAAGTTTTACAGCTCACACTATTATTTCCTTCCCTGTCAACAGAGATTCAGCTCTAAAGGCATCTGAAGCTCAATATAATTTTGTGCCTCTTTAGGAAAAATAAACAAATTGAGCACATGCATGTAACTCACCAATGTGCTTGAAATTTAATGAAGAGACTAAGACATTCATCTGCTAAAACTATATGCTTGTTATTATGCCAAAAGATTTGAGGGTTTGGGTTTTTTTAAAAGAACTGAACATGTGTAACCATAAAACCAGGGAGAGAGCATGTCAAGGTGCATCCAACTTCAGTAGAGACCCTACCTTGGAGAAACTCTCCTCCCAGTCCTGCCCCAAAGACTGCAGTAATAGAACCTCTGTCTCTGTCACAGCCCTTATGTGACAGGAGGCAAGTGCCCTCCCACAAGTCCTGCAGCTAAAGGTCAGAGTTCCTGTGCTGGGCTGTCTACATGTAACCTAAAGTGTTGGCACAGGCCAGAAAGCATGCCTGCCTTTCATGTCTTGCCTGAAAACTTTTTTTTCCATCACCTTCCAAGATCAGCTAGCAGGGTTCTGGCATGAGTCAACATGGACTTGAGAACAAACAACAGTTAGCCTTACCATACACACCACCCCCCGCCTGCTGGGTACACAGGTCTGCACTTTTATAGCTTACACCACAGCATAAAAAAATAAAAGTTGATGTATTGACTCTCCCTTCCCTTCAGTGGGAACATTCCTGTTTTAAACAACTTGCAAGTTTAACAATTTAATGTTATACGCATCTTAATGTGACATTCTTTTCTATCCTAACTCCCACAACAGTTACTTAACCTGCTAGAAAAAAAATTCAACAGTGAAAAAGTTACAGACAAAATTTACTTCTTGCTGCGGTGGATTTAAACAGAACCTGAGGTGACATCTGTTTGTGTTTTGGGAACAACTCTGATCTGTGTGGCACACAATCTTCTAGCAATAAAACCTATTACAATCCTGGTAGTGTATGCATTTAAGCATAAGTTTAAGCAATACAATTCATTCAGGCAACTAGAAAAAAGTCTGAGATTTACAGTTTCGTCAAGCTAATCTGCAAAGAGTTGTAATAGCAAGCCAGCTCAGAAACAAGTGTAATGAAGGAGTTTTTTGTTCAGTAGTGCATGTTTATTTGCATACCGAGGAGAATATGGAACAGCTGGTGGAGGGGGTATGTACAGATCCAAAATGGCTGGTTTCTCTTTCTTCAGTGAGGCATCCATGGTGCTTTCTGGTGACTGAGTTGAAGTTGGTGGAGTACTGGTCTGAAACGTTAGACAGCTATCAGATATCTGAGTATTTATTTATCATTCACAAAAAGAGAATTTAATAATCAATAGTACCATTTTCATCCCCTAGTGAACTATTATCTCCATGCTGTATGAACACATTAAAAACTCTTAGAAGTTACATTTTCCTTCCCCCCCAGTTTTGGATAGCTTTGCAGTCCCTCCTACAGAAGTCATATCATGGGTAATCTACTGCTCAAGAATATTTTGCTCTTTCCAGTTATATTTTTCCTGTAAATTCCAAAAAAAGCAACTGAGACAAAATGTCTTATTCTATTTTTAAATTCATTAAAAGAACATAATTTGTTTAAAAAATATATGATTGGCAAACCTTGCAAAGCCAGCCCACGCTACCTTTATTCCATACAGTCCAAGGCCTGAGGCATAAACAGGAATATGGTAAAGTTCACCATAAATTGGATCAACAGATATAACTACAGTCAGGGAAGCAAAGAAAAAATAGATTTGGCATTGCTCATCTTTGTGGCTCACCTCTCTATTCTCAGTATCTTGCCAGGCTCCTGTCTGTCTCCAGGAGAGAAAAGTCTTCAAAGATCCTTTCACCTTTGTCAGGCAAGAGAACTGCACTCTCTATTTTTTGTAAGGACTGTCCACTTAGTTAACAGCACCCCTGCACAAGCACCCGCCTTTTACTGGTCAGTGTGCAGAACCCCAGAACGATCAACAGCCTTCTCCAATCTCTCATTCCCCTAAGGAAACACTGCTTGGTATAGCCTATATGACAGCCCACCTCAGCTCTTCACACTGGTAGCACATGTCAGGCATGATGCCACAAAAACAAGACACAGGCATTGGTGAAAGGAAAGATGAGAAAAGTAGTCAAGTACGCATCTTCTACTCAGTTTGAGAGAAATCTGCCTTCATCGAGACTTGTCATAGCCACTGGTATTTCATAGGTTGATAAATTATCCTCACAGCTGTAGGGAGACCTGCATCGCAACAGGAGTAGGAATGGGAACTCTCCCTGATTTTATTCATTTCACGTAATCACTTTAAATTCAGTTTGGTTGTCTCTTTCTATAAGCATTAAGCCTTAAGTTTCCTAATGCAAAAGCCATTCCTCAACATGGTTATTTAATAATTATTAACACACTTCCTTTGTCTGCTCAGTAGCCAATCTGGGAATCGCCCCACGGCCTAATCTTATGTAAACAAGTAGTTTAAATGACTTCTTGAAAAACACTCCAATCCTTCAGCAGACTAAAAAGAGGACAAATATATGGAATAATCTAAGTTATTTCAGCAAAAACTTATTACTGTGCTAAATAGAGAAAGCCTTTATTGCTCCATGCTGATGAATTCCATACATGTCATCAGATTCAGCAGTTTCTCCTCAGATAAGTTCTCCCAGTGACACGTAGACTGATTAAAATGTTCAGCACACCTAGTCCGTTTGTGTACCAAGAGGGCATTATCTGTTTTTAAGGAAAAGAGAGGGAAAAAAAAAAGAAAAAGGCAAGAACATTTTCCTTTTATCTAGAAACCAGAAAAGGACAGCCATTTCACCTAACCTTCCTTGATCTGTAGTTAAACTTGAGCACCTGGGAGCATTTCTGGGATTTCTCTTTTTCGAGCTGCAACCAAGGCATTCCCATCCTGAGATCAGAGTGGAGCTGGCAGCCTCTCACCTGCACCAAGGGTGGTTTCCAGCGCAGGTTCTTTAATGGAGCAGGAGTAAAATGGAAAGAGCCAGTAGGACGTTTTTTAAGCAGTAGCCTAACTCCAGCAGGATTCTCTCTCAACTTTGCCACCAGATTTTTTAGCTGCCATCCAACCTGGAAGAGAATAAAGACATCTTTTATTTGGCATTTCTTTTCTGAAAGCAAACAAACAAGAAAAACCCAAATCCCTCAAGTCAAACTGTTTTAATATGAACCTAGAAGAGATACACGAGATCAAAAAGAGTCAAAATTAAGAAAAAAAAAGAAAAGCTTCTTTTTTGCACGGTTCTTCATTTTTGTTTCCAAGAAAGTTCTCTACTTAAGCTGTAAACTAAACTGAGGTATCAAGCAATGCTCTTTATACCTCAGTTCTAGTCCTAGGAGGATGCATGGATGTGTTCAAATTGACTATTACAGGGATTCACAGTGAACTATTTTTGCCATATTTCTTTCTCTCATTGAAAGGCATTGCTTACCTGTGCGAAGCAAAAATGTAATCATTATATCCAAGTTCCCAGATGCAAATGATTTGACAATCATTTGCAAATGACTGGGAGTTTTTTTAGCTGGTTTTATCTGCATTTCAGTGGACTCTAAGAAAGCATTTTAAAACTGGTCTTAAATACAACATGAAGGATTTTGATATGATGCATACAGCATTTAAACATGAAATATTGCATATTTATTTTATCAAAATATTCCAAAGAATAAAATCCGTCTGGAAAACATTAAAAAGCCTCAAATATTTCATAAGGAAAACACCAGAACCACCTCCTGACTCCATCCCCTCAGCACCTGTGGGGAGCAAGCCTTGCAGAGCAAGGATGGGAAGGTTGGTAACATTGTTAGTTACTAACCACAGTTTGCCGATTAACCTGGATCACTTCATCACCAGCATGAATCTTCTGAGAGCGATCAGCAGGGGACTAAAAAGAGGAAAACAAGAGTCATGTGCTTCAGCGCTTTTCATCCCTCCCATAACAACCCCCACCATGCTAAGTCAAAGGTTGCATCAGCAAAGCTCTTCAGTATAGATAATTTTCACATCTGCTCATGACTTCAGAAATGCAAATTAATTCATCAAATGGTACTTAAGTCATGGAACAGTCTCTACTTTTGCCTCTAGTTTGTACCTTAGTTTTAGACAGTAGTAGGAGAGGACTGAAGAGGGTTTCTGCCCTAACACAGCAACTATTCTAAACAGCTTTCAAATAAATGTACACTGATTTAAAAAAAAAATACATTAAGACTTTGAATGTATAGAACAAAGGACCAAAACCCGTCCAATCCACAAGACAGATCCATTGCACTTTTCCTTTCTGTTTCCTAATGTAAATAAAAGCTTCCAACTTTAACGTCAAACTGCTTGCCTGCATCAAGGTCAACAGATAAAAATACATGTTTGCACACATCCAGTGTGCATAGACAAGTATTTTTCAAATACCTATCTAATAATAATAATACACCTTAAAATACAAGTTTCCTGGAACAAAACCTAAGCTCTGGGGAACCATCAGCAAGGAAGAGATAAATGTGTCAATATTTACATTTATCAAGAGCTGGTGCAATGCACCAGCTATTGCTGCAGTTATTAAAAACACTCTCACTGCTATAACACACCAACTCTGACCAGCCTTGACAACACCCAAAGCACAAAGGGTACCAAAGCACAAACCTTGGTATGTACTGCACCCCGTCATAGGACAAATCCTCCACCCATTCCCCCCACCCCATGAGTAACCACCAGCCAGCAGTACAGCTCTTCCTAGTGACTCCAGCACTAAGCACTGGGATTAAGGACTCATCACACCTTTAGAGCTCCAATAACTTTCTTATGAGAAAGAACTAAGAACAAACAGTGCAATAAGGGAAGAAAACGTGTGGGAATTTATGGGAGGCTCCAGCTATCATGAGTAACCCCATTTCTTAATTGTCTTCTTGCTTCCTCTGAAAGGAAATGCCTCTGTGGAAAGCTGCATATATACGAGTCAACCAAGATCATGAAAAAATGATGGCCCAAAATCAAGTTTAGGAAAAAATAAAGCTCATTTCAAGTTGTCCTTTGGGTGACCAACAGCTCATGTGAGGGAGGGTGGGGGACCCTTGAACAGAGAACTCTTACAACAAGTGGCAGGTCACAGCACAGACACTTGGATCACATGTGAAAACAGAGGAAAGAGCAAAGTTCAGATCTAGGTCAATGTGATACAGGAAGTCACATGTAAGATGGCACAACTCAGGAATACTCTTGGCTGACTGGTACGAAACAGACTTCCCCAGTCCTTCCACTGTTCAGTACTGTCAGTTTAGGGATGCAATTCCACTGCATTCCCATACACCAGCTTCTGGGAATAGCTACTAAGATACCATTCCAAACCTATGAAGAAAACTGAGCTAAGACCCAGCCTGGGTCATCTAAACAATACCATGCCACCATAAAGACATCGGTTGTTTGCAGATCTCAGTCACTTCAAGTTCTGTTGCTCCAAAGGAAGAACCAGTGTTGATAAAAAAAGCAGACATTTAAGTCAACACTCGAAGCTACAGAAGAAATACAGCCCCAAAAGAAGATCGACATGCAGAGGCAGCTTGTCAGCAGTCAACATGACATTTTCATCGGATGTTGAAATTGCTGTCAAAGTGGGCCTGGTCTTTGTGGCAGATTCTATACAGTTATGCCATGACAGTAGCATAAAAGCTATAAAAGCTATAAAAGTTTTCACTCTGCACTCTGAACTGCAAGCACAGATATCCATGCTCTCCTCCTGGTCCCTGGACTTGGCAGGGGTAACAACTAGAACCACTGGTTCTTTCCTATCCACAAATAAAAGCATTGCTGCAAAAGCCAAGTTTCTCTGCTCTTCCTTCTTTCAGTCACTGCTCCCATACAGCAGCATGTTTGACTGATGCTGTGATCCACAGCATCACTTGCCAGCCTCAGCTTCTGGCTAGAGGTCCACTCCTTCCATGGTTACCCAGAAGCCTTCAATGGACTCACAGTGTACAAACAGAAGAAGAAAAAACTAATTGCCTACCCTACCAACTATTTCCTTCCAGCTGACCACTCTTAAAAGTCTTACTTGTTCATAGTCTTTCTACTCTGCAAGGTAATGTTGTGCCGGGACAGCTCATTAATTTCATTACTTATTACTGAATTTAGCACACTACCATCTAAATGTTCCCATTAGGGGAGATTGTCTTTGCCAGCAGAGAGCAAACACATTCAAGACTGTTAGGCAAGATACCATAAGGGCTCAGAACAGCAGATACAATATCTTATTAAAGTAATTATTTTAATGCCAAGCATTTGAACTAACTCATGTAACTTGCAGAAACTGGTTTAATTTGACTAACACTGAAACATGCAGACACAAAATATTTACAAATTATGGATAAACAAACAATGCATCACACTATTAGAAGCAGTAATACCATGCAAGTCATATGTAAAACAACAAAAACTACTAAGTCAAACTAACTCATCAAAGCTACTGTCCAGATAGCCTGAGTTAATCTACATTTACTTCACTTACGTTTTCTGTAGTTCCAGTAATTACATGCAATCCATCATAAGTTGATTTTATGTACATTCCCTAAATATAAAGAAAAAATGAAAAACAAGTTTAAAGGCAACATAAACCACATAATTTATCTGATTAAACAACTCTTGGCAATAGACTCAAAACATTATGAAAACCAGTTAACAATTCATACATTTTCCCTAGAAAAGTGTGTGGTCTAATTTTACATTAAACTTCTTCACAGATCACTTTTACTATAATTAATTATAATATTTATTATAAAATAAAACACCAAATATATGGAATGTGACTTAGAAACACTGTTTGATTGGTAATACCAAACACTGCTCGTTTTGCTGCCTTGTCAGTCTTTGGTCTCAAAAAAAACTTTATTTCCTTACTACCCAGTCTGCACTAGAGAATTACAGGTTTTACTAGGTAGCTACTAGTTCTCCCCATACAAATCTCACTTACACAGATGGGTTACAAATATTGCAGACATATTCTTTTACAGCTTCTCTTGGCAAGCCAATACACAGATTACCCTGTAACCACAATGCTGACATAAGCAATAAAAGCTCCAGCAGAGTGTCTGTGGCTCAGTATGTTAACACTGAGTGTGAACACAAGGACAAACTCAGATGAAGTGGGTGTTGACCATAAGAACACCAAATTAAAAATCACAAGCCAGCTATTAACTAATAATTACACAGATTTCCCCACAAGAGGTGACCAGTACATTGGTTCCATCATTTATGAACAAATACATATCTACTTTTCCTATCTACATCTGTTGTTAGAAGCACTCACACTGAGCAGTATAGAACTGGATGTTATTCTGGAGCTAAAAGCAGCTTAGCTTAAAAGTACAAGGAAAAATAGAAGATTTTTTTTTTTTATCCTTCCTATCCAGCCAATTCCTTCCCTGTTTGCCTGTTAGTTTCCAATGGTGTGCACCTACCTCTTCGTTTCTTACTTAGTCCAAGCTAGACTGACTTCACTTTGTTGTAGCTTGCACATTAACAGAGGTCCCCATAATTTCAAGAATGCATGACTAATTCAGTCAAATCCATTGGTCTAGGTAAAACTATACAGCACAGTAAGACTGTGCAGTTTTCTCTGTAAGTGTTCATCTCTTCTGCCTTCAGGGCCAGGGGGTGAATACAAATGCACTTAAGAATTTAAATTCCCTTCAACTCATTCTAACACATCTGTTTGCTAGATAGAAAAGCCACTAAGATTTCAAACTAAGTTTCGCATAACCAGTACTCAGTTAAGCAGAATCCACTGAATGAACAAGAGTCAGTCACTGAACATTTAAAAAGGTCTCATTCCTGCTAAAGGTAAACCTCAAAAATTCTCATTTTCTTCTCAGTCTTGCTATAAAAACAAATAAAACCACATCTTTCAAAACACAAACATCATTTCTCATTACCTTCTCCCTCCCCCAGTCCTACGAAAAAAATAACTAGATAGAGTAACCTGCAAAAATAAAACTACTAATTTCACAAGCATTTGTAAATTCTCCAGTATCCTCATTAAGACAAAAATCTTCAGCAACTTACCATTAAAAATTATATTTGGGATCAAACCTATTAACATGCATACCTGTCTCTGGCAGCCACTCCAGTACACCACCTGACCATTAACCTTTAGAGTTCCTCCCCATGCCTCTTTCTTTTCTCCATAGGTTATTACTGGTCTTGAAATAACTTACTATACATAAACACTTGCATTGGCTCACAAGACTACCTTATAAAACACTGGGGACATCAGGAGACTCCAGTTCTTACCAGGCCTTCCCCAGGTTTAATGTTGGTTAAGTGAACCTCCTCCAGACAGGCACACTGGCTCATCAATGGATCTGTAGTTGATCGAATGGCTTTATCACAAATGCCATTTAAAGTCTTGGCCTACAATGAGAACACACAAAAAACAGTTAGGAAAATTCTCCCCTGGCTTCTTCCTCTTCCATTTCTCAAAAGATGTAAAGGAAATGAGTTTTAAAACCACTGAAATAGCAGTTTCATTTGTACAAATCTATTTTACAGTATGTTTATATTCTTACTGTGACACAGTAAAAACAACTTGTTTCCATTAGTGCCCCCTCACCATCGCTAAACAATAAACACCGAAAATATAGCAAAAAATTACGTAGGGGCTTATTCGCTTTAACCAAAATACAACCCACTAAAATATTGAAACATTTTGATGATTCTTTGTGGGAACAACTGACAGTTTTCATGTTGTTCTTTATTTCTGCTATGAGAATAAAATTGGCCATGTGCTGGCCACTGACTTAACTGCACAAAGCTTTACAGTATAAGGTAGGACACCTAGAACTTAAGTGTTTCAGCAGTACTTCTTTCCACTGTGCCTCTGAACTGACCTCTTCTGGAATGCTTACGCAGGCAAGGTTCACATTTCCTTTTGACTGAAACATAACTGATCCTAAGCCAACATTATAACTAAAGGCTAATTCTGACCTTGGCGTGTGTGTCAGTATAGTTAGAGGCAGAATGGCTTTGCCTCGTAGAACATTTAACTATTAGAAGGGCTAATTAAACATGAGGGGGGAAAAAAGGAAAAAAAAAAAGTCAAAAAATCTATGCCCTCTCTACACCCACAAATTTCATTACTTCTCAAAGTGTATTTTCCGTCTTGACATTAACGGAAAGAATGCTGAAACTCAAAGTCAGTTGCAAAAGCTAAAAGGGGAAGGGAGAGAGGATTAGTACAGTATAGTAGTTAGTTATAAACAGTTTGGGAACCAGCAAGTCACCTTTCACAAGGGGTTTGAATCCTCCAGTCAAAGTAGACATATGTAATTACAGGATGGGGGGAGCTGTGTCATAGGAAGACAGTGAGTTTGATTACAATGGTCCCTGGAAACAATAGTTCCAATGTTTTCTGTTTTGTTTTACGTCAGATTTATAGAGCAGCAATAAAATAAATCAAAACAATGTTTGAGTGTGAATGTGAGGAACTGCTCAAACAAGGGAATTCCAAACAACAATACCTACTTCCAGAGTGGGTGTGCACAAATGGAAAAAGAAAGATGCAGAAAACTCCCTTTTACGTGGTCTCAGTATTTATGGACAAAATTATTTTTAGTTATTTTGCTGCTAAATTCCTAAGCATCTATGAGCTACCGGAAGGCCTTATCAAAGAGCACAGCCTGGTTCATGTCAAAAGCAGGAAGCGATGATTAACTGTTACAAAATATAAAAAGCATTCCATTACACTCTGCATTTGGTCACAAGGCTGCTTCGAACAACCCTGAAAACTCAAGCTCAAGTACAAACAGAAACAGAACTTCAGCTCTGTGGCAGGGCAGTTCTTCAACATGAAGAAGTGTAATAAGGCATAGTGTCTACTTATTAAGGTACTAATTGCACTTCACAGGCATAATTGGTTTATTTAGCCTATGAACATTTTATAGTACTACTCCTCCCTTGAAAATTTGAGACCTAAATCCTCTTGGAAAAATAGCTGTGGAATGAAATTTGAAGGAATACTTGACTCCATACTATTACACACACTACCCCATCTGTTCAAATTTCATTGATTTCCTTTACAGTGAAGAATATTCACAAAACAACCCATAGTAATGTTTACTTGCATGATATGCTTGTACATTTGGGACTGAAAAGCTGTTGTCAGTACAGTTGGAATAGGAGCAACTGAAATAAATGTGAATGCAAACAGCTGAGTTTCAACAGAAACGTAAACTTACCACAGTCTGGACTTTATCTTCCATGTCAGCCACAGTGCAATCCTAAAAACAAAACAAGAACAAAAGCCCTGCATTAACCAATAAATATGTAAACAAATTATCTCTGAAAATGCTGCAAAACTGCCATTTTTACCTTGAATAGAAATAGTTATTCATGCTGCAGGGATTAATCAGATTAGTTTCACCCAGCAGGGCTCAAATAGTTGTTAAGCAACTATTTTCTGGCCCGGTAGAAAGCAATAATAAACCTTGAAAACTAAGAGAATGTGGGATTCAATTACAGCAGCTGACTTTTCCAGAGAAGTAGAACCCTGCAGAACCATGCAAAATAAAGTACTCTCAGAAGGCCAGGCAGATGAGTTTGCCTTACACTGGTAAGGCATTCCTCTGTCCCAGGCATCAAAATGTATATAAAACATATTGTTGAAAACAGAATGGAAAGTGATTTTTTTAAAATATGCTATTGATTACATTCCTGAAGAGCAGAGGACTGCACACAAGGCATTGTTTACACAGCCCAGGTACAAAAGTCTTTGAACTAAAACAAGTTCATGTAAGAAACCACAGAAGTTATCACTGTTTTCTGCAAAAAGAGCTGAACTGGAGAATAATATTGTGCTCATATTAAAAAGTTAATACAGCAGATAAATAATGAAACAAGATTTATAGGATCTATAAGGAGAAAACCCCCAAGCCCCAAGCATTTTAACAAGGTTAAATTCCGGGATATTTGCCTTTGACGTTTGTATTGGGTTTGCATGTCAAGATTTTGGTAACAGGGATACAACACGTGTGGCTTCTAAGGGAGCTACTAGAAGCTTCCCCTGTGAAGCTTACCCATGAAGCCAGTGCCAACAACCTCCAAGATGGACCTGTCACTAGCCAAGGCTGAGCCCGTCAGTGATAGTGGCAGCACCTCTGGCATAACAGATCTAAGAAGTGGGGGAAAAAAGCCCTGTGTAACTGCAGCCAGAGAGAGGGGTGAGAATATGTGAGAGAAACAACTCTCCAAATACCAAGGTCAGTGAAAGAGGAGGGGCAGGAGGTGCTCCAGGCACCAGTGCAGAGATTCCCCTGCAGCCCATGGTGAGGCAGGGTGTCCCTCTGCAACCCATGGAGGTCTGCAGTGGAGCAGAGATCCACCTGTAGCCTGTGGAAGACCCCATACTGGAGCAGGTGGATGCACAAAGGAGGCTATGACACCATGGGAAGCCCATGCTGGAGCAGGTTTGCTGGCACAACTTGTGACCCCATGGGGGACCCATCCTGAAGCAGTTTGTTTCTCAATATTGCAAAGTCCTACTGCTCCTACTCATTCAACCTTAAAGTTTGCCACAGAACTTTAAGGTTGAGTAAGCTCTGGTCCTTGAGTCTTTATAGCTATCATTAAAGTCAACTAGAATCTTCTTGCATTCCTGCCTTGCTTCATTATTCACCCACTTTTATACATCATTTATGATTATGCAGACCACCATTGGTTCCATGAGAGCCATCCTGGTCTCTTCTCCACTATTAGAACTGACCATTTGTTCCTATAGTTTATACTCCAATAAAAAATACTTTTGAAGTCTAAAAGCCCTCCTAAAAATTTTTCGATTGTGTCTCTCTTTTTCACATTAGTGGACTCCTTGAGACCATTCTAACATATCTGCAGTGTCCCAGTACAAAATAGTGTTGGTTCTTCCCCCATTAATGCTTTTTCTTGCCTGTACCAATCCCATTCTTTACTATAGCTCCTATCAAATTGGCAGAGAAGTAGTTTGATGCCTTTTAAAAGGCTAGGGCATAGTATTCACCAACTTCCATTCCTCTGCCATCAAAGGCTGACTTAACCAAAAGATTAGACACCATTTTTAGCAGTTTTATTAATATATTCAGCAATCTCAGTTCCTGTAGCACTTTTGGGTGAACACCATCTGCTGCTAGAAACACTTATTGTTCTGCTGCACAATCTGCAAATCTGTAGCTGTAAATCACTGATTTTGTGCATTTGCACACACAGTGCCCAAGCCAGAAGGGCATCAAGCAGCAGGACAAACCTGTGCACCTTAGAATTTACAGTACCCAGACACTATCCTTTGACAATGATACAACTGACATAATTGGGTGTCATCATAGCTTGACAACTCATAGGATATTTCTGTCCTTTGACACCATCCCTTCAACATGGGGAGAGAATCACACATGTCACAGGACATGGTCCTTCAGAGTTTGAAGAATATATGGCCATGGAGTAATGGTGACGAGCAAGTTTGGCAGTAACTGAAGTGCGCACACAGTGCTTCACGGCCAAAGCAGTGGTATGCTCTCAGAACAGTTTTGAAGACAGGCAGTATTATTCAGAGAGCAAAAAATGTCATTTGCCAAGATGCTACATATTGCTGCATGTCCTTTCAGCTATTATCTGTACAAGTACTCCTCACACAGCTGATAAATTAAAGTTTTGAAAAATACTGTGGTGTTGGAGTAGGGGCAGAAGCAGCCTGGCTAGTGCAATTTGTATTGTAAAGGTGGCAACTCCTTCCATTACATGCAGCATTTCCCATCTGATGGCTATACCACTCTGTTGTGGGACCAGACCTATGAAGCCTGCAAGCACAGATGTAAAAATCAATGGAGCCATATTTTTGTTTAGAGTTAGCACTGATAACTGTTTATGAACATGTTGTTTGGAATGTGAAGAGCTTCAAATGCAGATCAACTATTTCAAAAACTAACCCTCTTTCTCATAAAGCTCAAGGAAACATAAGTAGCCTTTAAACTGCAGTCACTTCAGATATAACCAGCAACGAAATTGGGGTAGGAACAACAAAAAACTCCCACCACTCAGAAAAACAAACAACTGAAACTGACCTTCATGGACCTTCGAAGTCTAAGTAAGCTCTCATTCCCAGATCTGCCTTTCATTAGCACTCAGCACACAGCAAGAACATTACTTCCCCAAACACCCCCTTTCCTTCCCTTTTGGAAAGCAAAAAGAAATAAGCTGACCTTCTGAACAGTAGTAGTGAGATCCAAGCAGAGTTGAATGATTCTGTTCTTCATTGATGAAAAGTCAGCAATACCTGTAAATGGGGTCCTGCAACAATAGAAAATTCCCCTTAGATCAAAGGGACCAGCTTTTCCAATCCTATCCTATCAGTGAGGAAGAGCATATGAGAGTACACCCTGAAACTCTGACATTCACATGGGTATGAGGATACAGTTTTACAACATAAGTATTCCTGACTGCACCAAAACTGGAAAATGTCTATCCCTGTGGTAAGCAAGTTCAGAGAACAGAACCAGAAGAAATGGTCAGTTTTCCAAACTACAGTTCTCTCTACTTGCAAGCTCAAGTCACGCTGTGTTGTAAAAATCATACACTTGGCTTTGCCAGTGAGTAGACCTCTAATTTTCTGACTGGACAAAGAAAAAAAAAATTCTCTAAAAGAAGAAAAATGGATTTTCACATTTTACACAGAGATACAGTGAGATTTAAGAAGAATCATTGTAGGTAGGGCAGCTTTACAGCCTGTAGAGTACTACCTCAGATCCTCCAGACAGCTGCAAAAGCTAGAAGAGGGGTTGAGAACTAACAACAGTGGGTTTGGAAATGGACAAGTCAGCAATTTTCCTGATGGTGATTTACAGAAAAAATCTAGGGTGAGCTGCCAGCAACATAGTGAAAGAAGAGGTCCAGGTGACAGGTACAAGCTGTTAACGTCACTGCCTGGACACAGACCAATTCCTTGCTTGAGAGCAGGGATACTGAAGGATAAAAGTGCTTCTTGCTGTCAGCTCCTGTGCAGTACTCCTTCTCAGGAAAGCTAGCAAGGGGTTTGAGAATTTATGTTCATCTGTTATCATGGACTGCATCCCTGCCAGCACTTGACCTGCTATAGCTGTCACAAAACAACTCTGGTTCTTTCCAGACAAAAAAAGAATTAAATGTCAAAAAAACAAACAAAAAAAACCCACAACAAAAACAAACAAACAAACAAACCAACCAACCAAAAAAAATCAGAAAACAAAACAGGCATAAGGAGAATCTCTCCCACTGCTCAGTTTTCAAATAACATAGCTAAGGCCATGATTTTAGCAGAACATTAAAAATTCTTTTAGATAGGGACTTGCCAACAGCAAATAATTTATAAGGTGGAAGGGGAAAAGAGAAGAAGCCACATGCATGAGAAATGACCTAAAAGGGAAGACTCCTACTTTTATAAATACCAGTTTGTGTGCAATATAATAGTTTTGCTGGTTTTAGCAAGAGTGGAAGTGCAAGAGTAGATTACCCCAGATTAAATTTGTTCACTAGAGGCCTTCTGGCAACATGAAAAAAGGAGTGGCTGAGATCAAGATCTTTACACCCAGGCATCTAGGAACTGTCCTACAAGGAGAAGCAATTCATTAGAGTAGCAAACTAAAACATAATGATTTTATTCTTACCTGTCCAACCATGCAAGCAAGGCTTTAGCAGCACCAATAAGCTCTACCACAGAAGTAAGGAATTCGTTGGGGGGCTTGCGAGAGGTATTTCCATCATAATTTGAGTTTTTCCTACGGCTGCTGATGTAATTTTGCAGGTTGTTGGATGACGCTCGCAGCTTGAGAACCAGATTCTTCATGTTGTCTGTTTCAAGGCCATAGTTCTGAAAGTAGTATTATTAAGCATCATAAATAACCTCATTGAGTTCTCCTGTTTATTTATACAATAGGTTGCAAGCTCATACAGGATGAAAAGTCTGAAGATTCACACAGTTTTCTTCTGTTTTTTTGGCAAAAGTACCTTCTAAGATTTGTTCCACACTATAGCCACTAAAGAATACTTTTGCCAATACCACCCCCAGTTTCTGACATTGAGATTTGAGGACACAATCAGAATGAAGTCCCACTGTCCTAACACATGTCATTTACTTGTTAATAACAGGACTGTGTTGTTTTTATTTTTGTCAAAGGAAAGCCAGTACTGTTTTTTTCTTAAAATGTTTTCTGTACTGTGGTACATAAACACTGAACTAACATTTCATTCACAACTAAAGATAAGTTAAATCTGGTAGGAGATAAAAACATCAACAGGAAGCAAATGTAATTCTGCAATCAAAATCTTAAGTAAATAAATATTTGGATCACAAGTTTTCAGGAACTGTGCTCTTTTACTACAACAGTGCAATTATTTGCACGTTTGAGGACTGCATTAAGACTATACATACTAATTAAAACAATTTTTAGACATTTTTCATTCAACAGCATCTTTAAAAAAATTTACAAAACCTAAAAAATTCTAAGTCTTGCCTATAACTTCAACTTTATAAATTCAAATACAACCAAGCCACATTCCATAGGACTAAACCCCAATTATTTTAAGTAACGCATTGATCATCTCATTCCAAACATGTCAGAAATGCTTCTCTCTTCTGAAGGCAACTCAGTTTTGTAATCAAGAATTTCTTCTTTTCACTGTTAGTGTGCAAATGTATGAATTAGGTAGCAATATGTATTTATCTTTGCTTCTGAGTTATTCCACCTTGTAAAACTTCTATGTAAGTCTCAGGCAAGGCTTAGTTCTTTTAGAATGAAAATTCTTTCTTTTCTTGAGAAAAGGCAGGGAAAAAACCTAAACAAAAGAAAAAAAAAAAAAAACCACACAAAAGCAAAAAGACACCCCTACCAGAACAAAACAAACACCCAAAAATGCAAAAAAAGTCCTGCCTTTCTCTGTTCTTTTGCTGCTGCAGATTCTTGCAACCAACCTCCAAGTTCCATAGTTTAGTCAGCTCTACTATCTACCCTTTCCCCTTCCCACTCAAAAACATAAAACAACTAAAGAAAATTTTAATTCCATTCAATACCTAGTTTCCAGGGGTTCCCAATATGCAGGTTGAAGGGGAGCTCTGGAGGTTTCAGACCAACCTCTTGCTCACAGCAGGCTCAGCTGCGAGTTCAGAGCAGCTTGTTCAGGATTTCATCCTGTCAGGTCTTGAAAACCTCCAAGGACAAAGACTGTACAACCTTTTTGGGCAACTTGATTGACCATCTAATTGTCCTGAGAGTAAGCAAATGTTCCCTTATATCCAGCCCGAACCTCATTTCAACTTCTGCTCAAAGTCTCTCATCTTCCTGCCATGCAAGCCCAGATCTGTCATCCTGCCAGCTGTGTTTCACACCATGGTAGGTGCTGGGGATCTGCTGTTGGGCCTCCCTGGAACTGTCTCTTCCCCAGGCTGAAGAAGTCCCAGTCCCTCAGCCTCTCCTTATGGGCAAGTACTCCAGCCCTGACCAACCTGATAGCCCTCCACTGAGCTTGCTCTGGTTTCTCTATATCTTTCCTGTACTTAGGGCAGGGGGCATATTCAGACTAATGAATGACTAGTACAGGGTGATAATCACTTCCCTCCCTCTCCCATTAATCATTAATGCAGGCCAGGATGCTGCTAATGCACACTGCTGGCTTGAGGCTCCATTCCCTCCACAGTCAAGCATCCATAAAAGCGTCTGGAATATTTTAGATTTAAGTAATTTACAAAAGAGGAGACAATCTTTGACCCAAAGAAACACACCAGTGTATGGAGAGGTTTCAGCTACACAGCTACCTTTAAAATGCCTGCTATGGATAAGATTCTAGTGGGTGTAAGCTACACAAGTGCCTCCCTCCTCCACCTCAGGGCTCTTGGCAAGGAAGTGCCCTCAAGTGCAGCCAGGAGTAGGGGTTGAAAGGATATGTCCAATTCAAAAAAATACCACTGTTGCAACAGCAAAGGATATCCTTAAATTTTCCAGGATCACAGAAAGGGAAATATCTGTATTACTGAACAACTTTAAAGTACGTGCACACAGTCATGTGTGAACTTATCACCTTTTAATTTTAACAACAACAGCAAAAGAAGAAAACACCACAAGAGCATTCTAATGCATTTCTTGTAGTCAGTTTTCTCCTCCTCACAGAACATCACATATTAGTCTATCATTGAAGAAATACTTTTTCACAAACAGGTCTGGATGTGGGGCAAGTTCCTATGACCACAAGAAAGTAGTCACACATCAGAAAATCCCCTCTTAAATTAGGGATTTGAAGGACACTGACCCCTCCTTCCTTAAAGGGGAAGAAAATACAAAATACCTTTTCTGTGCAGAGGTATAACCACCTAATAACTCTGATCAGAACTTGAGTATGCATATAATTATCTCCAGGTCTTTCTGTCATTCAGATGCAGAAATTGTGCCAACCATCTGCAGGTATTTGAGATTAGAGACGGCACCACCATTTAAGAAGACACATGTTGATATACCAGGTAAGATTTTGGTTTTGGCCCTAAAATATTCACATACTCCTTATCACACCTCTTATTCAAATTCCTTATTTACACAGCATTTGAGTCTGGTGTGACTTTCCCAGATGAGGTAGTTCTTAAATAAATCTGTCTACCTCAGTTTTGAGGTAGACTTCATCAACACAAGTGTTGCCTCTATAGATGCAGGGGCTGCAGCTCACAATTGCAACTGGTCTACCCAACAGACTATCAAGAGCACGATCACAGCCAAGCTCTAACAGTCACCCCTCTAAGCTCTCCTACAGTTTCCCCCAAAGAGCCTACAGAGTGCACCAGAGATATGTAAAACAGCAGCTCATGCTCTAGGAAAGGTCCTGACTAAGCACTATGCCTATCCAGCACAACGGGGAGCATGCAGCTCTTCAGTATCAGGAAACCAAATTATCCAACTATTGATCAGCTCTGCTAGATGAACTCCCCCAGGACAATGCATCATCACAACCCAAGCCACCCCTGTTCCAGGGGCAAGGCAGTCTCCTCACTTGTCTGTTCTAATAGGACAGAAAGCATTCTGCCTCTTCATCATATAGCAATGCTTCTATCCAAGCTGACACTGTCTTGAACACCTCACACATCACCAACTATTTCTGTTCTTTTTTTGCTCCTTCACTTGCAGTGTCCAGTCTGTTGGAAGGGCTGGTCTGGGGATCTAAACCGTTCAAAGGAATCTAATCCCTTTTTACCTTTTTACTGGTTTAGCTTCCTGAAGTAGCTCACTTCAGGGTCAGGTGAGTGCAAGTACAGATCACTAATCAGAGGACAGGAGGTGGTGGAGGCAGCAGGTGATTTGGATTAATTTAACTTTTCGTGGAACTGTAGCCTCGACTCAGGACAGATAGGAATGTTGATATGGTGGCAGCACACCAAACAGCCTTCACAGTGACACACAGTCAAAGCGCAAAGCTCAGCAGGCTTTTCTTGAAATATTTTTACAGGAATGAGGCTACAATAGTTAACAAATTATTATTTAAGCAACTAAAAGGTTTTAGATGTTGCTCATGAACGAAAGAAACAGGTTACATTTTCCTATCACTCCTGATTTAAAACATCAAAGTTGCTTTAATCAAAACACAGGCTGAATCTAGCAGTCAAGAGCACCCAATGTCAAACATTCCCAGGTTATTACTCATTAACCTGGGGAGCCACATGCAGGGCTGGAGCGAGAGGCAGCACCCACACGTGCACCAGAGAGCACATGCACACAAGAGTATGCTCTTTCTAAGTTCCCCCACATTTAATGAGAAAAAGTAATCTGATCAAATAATTGCTCAAGGTCAGGCAGCCAGCATAAAGTAAATAAAAAAAGTAGCTAACTAAAGTCAAAAGAGCACAGCAGTTGTGTCAGAGCTGATTTGGGCTGATACAGAGCCCTCCCACTGCCCAGGGACAGCATCTCCTGCCCTTTTACAGCCATGTTCATATCCCACAATGTGACGAGCTGGATCTCCTGGCTGATCCAACCGAAAGCCTGTTCTGGGAAAAAGATGAATAAAACCAGACTAAATGCCTGCTCAGAAGCTGATCCAAGTCACTTCATGCCTATATAAACACTAGAGTTAATGCAAGGTAATGTCACAGTCACTCATTCTTGCTTTTTCCCTTTAAAAATAATACATCCTAAAGAATCCTTTGGAGTAACAAATCTCCTAATAAACAGCACTCAATTTGAAACCTCTAGAAAACTGAAATCTCATGAGGCAGTGCACAGATATCCTCTAACAAGGATAAGTCATCATGTGTGCATGTTTTATGTTGTGATGTTATATTTTGTTACAGTGCAAATATGCTGGCAGAACATTACTATGAGTGAAATTATCAAAGGCAGAACTATGTTCTTTTTTGTTTATGAGGTTTCTAGTGGTTTTTTTTAATTGTATAAAACTAGTATCTCTTAATTCTGACCTCAAGTAAAATCCACTGCTTTTTTGCTTTGAAACTCTCACATCACACAGTGTAGGTAAAGATTCAAAAATCAAATCCAAAGAACACATTAAAAGTGAAAATATTTGCATAGTTTCCTGTTAACAAATATAAAATAACGCAAGCATTAAGCCCCAAAAAGTTTGTTTTCTGGATTACCCTCCCTGTTTTTGTGGTTTGAAAAGTATAGTTATGTATGTTTGCTCCCCCCTTCCCCAAATACTTCGGAGTCAACTCAGAAATGTCTTTCTTCCATCCCTTGACCCCCACCAAGCAAATACTGTTGACAAAACGACAGAGGCACTCAAGTTGATCATTTTTTTCTCCCTCTGGAGAATTCAGATCCTTTGATACATCCTCTAAATTCCTCAAATATGTCTTCAATACCTGTTCAGAAAACTCTGTCAAAACAGCTGGAGAGCAACAGAAATGTGTGCTCAGAAGAAACCTTCACTTTTTAATCCCAGTCCACACTCTCCTCCCACCTCTTCAGGATGTTGTGCGTATGGCCAAGGCTATGAGGAGATGAGGGAATGCTGTTTCATCACCAAAGCAGCAGAGAAAGACAAATTAATTTCTCTTTCACACCATAACTTCCAGACACATGTTCACCTTAGCACTGACAAATAATATTCAAACCCTATAAAAACTAAATAAAAAACCAGGCGTATTTGGTGTCCTTTCTCAAGGAAAGGACTACCTTCATACTTCATGTATTTTTGTGACTAATCTACTGAGGCTGAAACAGAGGTCTGTAAGGTGAATGCCTGAAAAGAATTCAACAGGAGAAAGATGTTCCAAATAAGCTACCTAACTGCCTTTAGAACCACATGTGTTCTTGTGGTGTGAAGGAACTAAAGCACTGATCTGAAGGAAATTCATTTGGAAAACTGCCAAGGCAAAACTTGATAAAAAGGGAAATTCTTTTTGAGAACGCCAGGTCTGGGGAACTACCAAACCCCCCCCCCTCAGCCCTTCTCTGCCAAGAACAACTTTGAAAGTGTGACCTCAGACTGGCTCAGCCAATGCCACATTTCCACAGTGTGAGCTAATACCACAGTGGGGGTGCTGGGGGACAAAAAGGAAAAAGAAAAAAAGATAAAATCCAAAAACAGTTTCTTTACTTTCAAGACCTCAAAAGTCATGGAAATATCACGATATGTACTCACACATACCCTAAATGACACACATTCCCACTTTGAAAGAACTAACACAGGTGGAATCCAGAAACCTTTATTCGCACACAAAAACAAGAGAGAGCAAAATAAAAAACCTGGTTGTCACTAGAATTTAGCGTCCCCTTGGAAAGAAAATCAACAGTGATTTTATACAATTCCAAAAATTCAAGGGGAGGGACATCAATAAGATGGCAAAGGGCATACCTAAAACATGGGAATTCTTTCTCCACCTCTGAAAAAGGGAACAAGGATGTTTCAGCTGTAATATGCAATAGCTGTCTAATGCATTAACTTGAGTTGCATTTCACAAAGGATTTCCAGAAATGGGTCTGAGGTCAAAACTTTTGTCTACAAAGGAAATTAGAAGGAAATTGTAGGAGATAAAACACAGCTTTAAATTCTGGCAGTTGTCCAGCTTTGTTCACTTTATTCTAATATTTTTGAAATAAAAAAGTGCCTTCAGGAACTGCCACATAGATTACTTCAGTCAGGACTATATACAATCCATAGTACGTTTATTAACTCACCGGACCCCTTCACTTGCCCAACAGACTATCCCCTCCCACACCATAAACTGCATTTCAGCCTAATTATGTTCTTCTATTAGATTTTCAAGTAGATGTTAATTTTTGACAGATCAAATACGTAAAGGAAATAAAATATTTTTTCAAATATAAGAGCAACTCTTTGCAAAACATGTAGATCTCATTAAATATACTTCTTTCAGTACAGGCTATCTAATTTGTTCCTGGTCACAGAGTAGGAATGATCCTTATGGCACCTCTGCAGCAAATAAAGTATATCACACAGATAGTAAAGACTCTCCATTTTAAGAAGAGTATGCTCAGTGCAGCAAGCCTTGCCTAACAAAGCAAAGACGAGCCAGTGCTGGCCAAAGAATCATTGAGTAGGCCTTCCCACCCTTCCCCTTGATGTAATTATATATATACCTCTGGTGCTCACTGACAGTATTACATCAAATATGCCTTCAAGACTGTGTCAAAACTACGGCTTTTAAATAAAGCCTCAACTAGCGAGACAATCCAAAACATATTTATCCTCTACAGAGTGTTTGTTTTAAAAGTATCTGCAGTGATATATCATGAGAAAGACAAAGGAACAGTTTAAGTTCTGAATCCAATGAGTGTTCAACTAGACTGTAACTGAGGTAGCAAAACATCCCTCATTTCAAGAATTAATTTTTCTTTACTTCATATGTTTTCTACAGAATTGCCCTAAACCTATTTCAACTGATGTGAGGAACTTCTGGCTTCTGTCATTTGAACAATATGCCTTCTATCTTCTAAGACAAACTCACTCTAGCAATTTTAATAACTCTGTTCACTAATAGGAGCCACAAGACCTAACAATGCCACTTGGACAACTTCATTCGTTGGAAGTGCAATCAAAGGAATTAAAGTTGCCTCTTATTAGGAAAAAGTTAAACAGCTATTAATACAAAACTTGGAAGAATTAAACAAACTCTTACTGCTTCCTTTTATTGTGATCTGTAACAGAAAGCAGGGAACAAAGGTATTCTGGTTTTATCAGTCTCGCCTTGGTTATTCACCCAAAAAAGCACTTGAAGAAATACTTTACATGTCAGTTCACCACTTAACTAACCAGTGCACACAGGAGATCCACAGCCTCTAGAACCAGTTCCTGATGTCCAATCCGTGAGATACCCAACTCTTCAAGGTCCTGGTGAGAAATCTGTAGGAGTTGTTCACCATTAATCTTTTCTCGTTCAAATTTATGGACATATTGCTGCAGGCAATCATCCAGGCCTAAAAAAACACAAAAGAGAGAGAAAGGGACATCAAAACCAAACAAACAAACAAAACAAAAAGAGAGAAAAAAACCCCACCACCCTAAAAAAGGCAGAAATCACAAGTTCATACAACATACAATGCGAAATTATGAAAGAATCTTGCACTGCACCTAAGGTTGTTGCATAGAAGGGGTATAGAAACTGAGCATATAAGTGATGTGGAACTTCGGGTCACCTAAGTCAATGTACAACCTTCCTGCTCCTTGTGGATCAAACTCAGCAGTTAAGAATATGCCTCTGGTGTCTGCACAGGCAAAGTGACCAAAGGACATACATAGAGTCAGCTACCAGGATAACCCAAAACCCTGAAGGGCATCCAAAGCAACAACAACAAAAAATAACAACTGACTAAAAAAAAAAAAATCCAAGTCAAAGCAAGAACAAAGATCTTATCCAAAGCCTAGTTAAACAAGCAAAGCAACAAAAGCACAAAATGATGAGAAAGAAAATGAAAAAAATCAAAGGCAAAGCAATCAAAATGATGTTTGGCTCAAATCTCATTATTCCCTTGATTCATGAGACCCTGCAGCTTCCTGAAGCAGCCATTCCTTCCCCTTGCTAAGGATCAACAACACATACAAACAAGAAATCTAATTCATTTTTCTATCTAGAAGTATTTTTAAAACAGCTTAGAGTATTTTGTCCCAGCAACATCCCCCAAATCCCCACTTTAAAATGTGATTCTACAATCCTGTTCTCCGCAGTAGGTTTTCCCCAGTGATTACAGAAAGGGTTTCTGGTTTTCATCTTATTTAACTAAACTTCATGTGTTAATTCTGTTTTCATGGGTATTCTGCTCATTTCCTCTGTTGTTAAAGATGCTGTGAGTAGCAACAATCTGGGAGGAAAATCTGGATGGATGTGTTATTTTAAAGATGATGCAGTGCTCTTGATGCTCTGTTCCCTTTCAACATATTGGCTAGAGCAAAAGGAACAGACCCAAATAGATCTGTTTTAAAGAAATACACCATGTTCATTGAAAACAGTTGACTTGAACAAAAATTCAGATAACACATTTGACATCTACTTTGTATCATCCACAATAGCTACATTGTTTCACCATTCCATTAAAAAAAAAAAAGGCACAACATTTAGCTCTATAAAGGATGTTTATCCATTATGCTTGTTCAAAAGGAAACCACTGAGATGGACAGGATATCGAACGCAGCAGATGAGAAACACAAACAGCATCCTGAACTACAAAGAAATGAGAGCCAAAAGAGAAGCATTCAGTTCCACTCATGAAGTTGCAGTGGCAGTCTGGAAAACAAGTACTCCCAGCACGCTCTACCACCAAAAAAACATTTGACGCAGATCACAGGGGGGATTCAGACCCACATGAAATATATTCACTTCATAACAGCAGCATGAGCAGTCACTGCTACCTTGCAGTGCCTAGTCACAGCAGATCCGCAGACGATGGACTCCAAAAGGCATGGGCTGACTTAATGTACATCACTTGCCTTTCAAAGGCTCACCCAGAAGTTAATAAGGACAGATGCCTCTTTACACGTCTTGGGCAAGCCTAATTATCACAGTAAATCAACATCTGGCTTGGTGAGTTTGACTCTTTGCCATGCAGAGCTACCAGTGTACACAGTTTGATTTTTAAGCATAATTATGAATGGGAAAACCCGCATGTAAGATAAGCAGAGTCTCCCAGGGCTACAGTTGTTTGGGGACACTCTTGTTTCTTCCCATCTGTCTTGGCAAAGCCGCATAAATTTTGAAAATTGAGTCCACTGTTCTCTTTCCCACAGGCACCAAATTCTGCCTTAGTCTATACAAACTCTTTTCCCAGGACAAATAATAAAAAATATCTGGCCTTCATTGTTTAACAATTTATTTTTTCAAAACAAATTCTCAACCAAGGCTACACACAGTTCACATATTTGGCATTCCCAATTTTTATTGCTGCCTTGTAGACCACTGTTTCCCATCATTTGCCCTTGTAAGCCCATGGTTTCCATCACAAATTACACAAACACCTAAAATAAAACACTTCATTCAGCATTCAGTGTAGTTTTTAATTTTTAAGTTTTTTCAATGCAGTGTGGCTTTTGCCTACTATCCTTTGTGTGTTGACTCAACTTTCTAGAACCTCATTCTCTGCTAAAACATGAGACTGAAATGTATGTATCCTCCTGCAGAAATACAGCTATGGCTTTCAGCTTGCCTGTGCTTTTTTAATTCATGCTTGCCTATACCTGAAGGTCTATTAAGACTTGAAGAGCTACCTCTAATTTTTTTTTTTTAAATAAGAGTCCTTAAAAACAAGACTGACACTATAGGACTATATTTTGCAATATAAAATATTACAAAATTGCACAAATGTTGACTCAAAACAGCCACCATAGTGGCACAGTTGCTCAGTTAGACATTTATTTAAGTGACCAAACTACGCAAAGCAGGAAGTGAAGACAGACCCACAAACTCATGTTCACTGATGGTTTAAGATGAGCTTACTAACATTAGCGCTATTATGTTTACTAAGGAACATATGGTAAAATATTAAACATTTTAATTGAGATTGCAAGCACATTTATAGCCTATTGTTTAGTTTTCCATCATATGAATGAAATGTTTAAATATCACACGCAAACAAAACTTCAAAAAGGGAAGGGAGGAGGGAGGAAAAAGGACTCATAACCCGGTTCAAGAAATTTTAATAATATTTAAATAAAGTTTTAAAAGTCAGCATTCAAAAGTCACTAGTAATCTAAATGAATTGCTCATTTTTTTCCTTCTTCTAAACATCTATGTTCTTTCCATGTATTTTCTTCATGAACTTTGGAACCTCATGGAAATTTGGTATTGCCCATTAGCACTGTCTGGATATTTTTGAGAAACTTAGATGAACTAAAGACTATAAAAAACAAGTCTACATTACTTAGAGAGACACTTTCTTACATGACAGATCATTTTCAACAGTGCAATATTAGCATGTTCAAGCAAGAAAGTAGTTTTCTCTATTTCCAAAAAAAATACAGTTAAGACTGACATTGGAAAAGGTATCTATATTTATTTCCTTTACTCACTGACGAGCCCTTCTGAAAGCTTAACTATTCATTTTATGCTCAAAGTGTGTTTAAAAAGCACTTGGTTTAACTGCATGTGCAAACTCTTTATATTATTTCTTGCACATACATCAAAACCATGCATGAAAGAAGGTCCTTCCTACCTACGTAATTGCTAGAGAACGAGGAAAGGTGGAAACAAATAGCAATTGCTGAATGTTACTCAGGTTTTACAACACTAGTAAGCAGTGATTTTTTTGGGAAGCAGAGCGAGTGAGAGAGAGATTAGTCTAGTTAGTGTTATTCATACTGTGAACATCCTTCCAAGGAACCACAGTGTAACTTGAACAAAACTCTCTCCCAAATTCTGGCAAGTGTAGAGATGTCCAATAGATCCTAAGAACTGTCTAGACTTTTCTGTCTAAAATAACCATCACACAAAGCACCCCAGAAGACATTCAATACCTTGCATTCATGCAAAAACATTAGGACAGAGCTTACACATACAGATTTGCACTGATACTAATCTCAGTCTGTTTCCAAGATTAAGAAAGTTATTTTGTGTAAGAATTGAGAGCAAAACAACTTTGAGGGAGTTAAGGGGGAAGTCTGAGAGAGAATTAGCATTTCTATTGTTGAGAGATGTCAGCCATTCAGCCAGGAAGCATCTTGCACCCTAAGAACTAGAGAAGTGTGTTTTATGAGTTGTTAAGCAGTTTCACACCTTTTGCTCTACTTGTGTTGGACACTACCAAATAATTTACCTACCATAAAGCAACAGTTAACTAATGTCTTACAGTTACAGGTCAAAAACCAGCTGACTCACCATTTCTTTTTCACTCCCACCATCTCACTCTTCCTCACTCTTTTCTCTTGTGATACCAGAGAGTCTACACAGAGTCTATATACTCCAACATGGTGGGGGCAGAGGAGGCAGAGAGCAAGGAAGATAGGGCAAGGAACCGAGGAAGGATTGACTAGGGGAAACTAGAACGGCACAGCACTACTTTCTATTTGTTCAGGAACTTGAACAGATTCTCAGGATAGCTCATAAAATGTCAGAAGCAGATACAAGGAAGCAGGAGTACAAGCCACTTGAAGAGAGGAAGAACTCATAAGTACAAGACCTTTTCCTTCACGTAGCACTAGCATAGGAATCATTGCTCAGTGTCAAAGATAATAAAGCCTTATTATTATGATCACGTACCCTCCTCTCTGTTGGGCAATTCTAACAGACAGCACCTGGCATCTCAGTGTAAAACCGAGGTTCAACTACAGCTCTTATCCCACTGAGGGGCTCCCTTGGACCTTGGATAGCTGGTTAAGTAGGACTGCCAAAGCCTTTTTTGCCTCATCACCTTAAAACTGGCCTTCCCACCTAAGTTCACTCTTATTCTGGTCTCCTCTTCAGGGTCTACTCAGTTGCCACTTTTAGTATTCAAAGGTTCCTTGCACACATCAGCTTCAATCCATCCTTCCCAAGCTTCGAAAGATCATCAGTTCTATGAGAATCTTTGACACACCCCACTGTACCTGCCATTATACTATCATTTATATTCCACATCATTTTACAACGGTTATTGTAATAGCTTCCTCCCATCATTTTCTCTATTTCCAGGAGTGAAAAAAATTAATCAAAGAAAAAGCAGAAGGGAGTCAAGGCAGCAAATGAACACTAGCAAGAGAAAATAGCTACTTCATAAGCAGATGAATCAACCTCTGAGAAGGTAAATGAAAGTAAGGAGAAAGGGTCTGCAAGGCAGCTCTGAAAAGCTGAAGTAGCTCAGTAGGACAGCTACAGGGTGAAAGGAAATACATTAAAAAAATTCAAGAAGAAAACAAATATAACTTTATTTAATATAGAATGCAGTGGGAAGGTCATTACACTGTAACATCACAGATGCCATTCTCCTCCTGCAATATTACAGACAAACAGAAC